CCGGTAACGAGCGGTCCGCGTACCGATATACCATCGGACCGGTACGTACCGCTCGTACCGGGCGGTATGGATCGGTATGGCAATCCTTGTTCTGGCAAAGGAAGACCATTGAATTACTTCTGATATTTTCGACCTACTTTAAAGTGTTTGTACTTCATATTGAAGGTATAGAAGAGAGAACCATTGTCAAGTGTGTACAAACCTTATATGAATCTATCTGTATCATTAATCGTGTTTCCTGGTTGTTCTTAACATTATCAAAATTGCGAAAAAGATTTCCTAAGTGCCTGACTGAAGCTGATGTTCCAGTGCCTAAATAATAGTCTAACACCCTACTCCTAGTTCCACCCATACTCTTCATGTAAGACTAAAGTAGGATGCCATAAATAGACACTGGATGGTGATGAAACTGTGAGAGACTGATACCCATAACTGAGTAGCATTAACTATCACAAATGCTACAATTGTCTAATATGTTAAGATGTATGAAGCTTAAACTATCATGATAGCACAAGTCTTTAGCACATCTGGAAAAGATAAACAGCCCATAACATGCATAGATTTTTTTTTTTCTATGCAGTATTCTGGTCAAACAACTGTCATTGTGCATCAGTGTTTGGTTACATTGATTTTAAATTTTACTTTTGAGATTAACAAAAAAAGTTACTTTCTAAGCTTTTATTTTGCAGTACTCTTCACCAGCTAAAGAATCATCATCCTTTGCTTGCTGTCTGGAATGAATGGCCAAAACTATTGTGAGCAGAACAGAAGCAATTCTGAAGTCGCTGTATGGTGGCCACATATCAAGGAAAGATAACTTGCTCTGTATTTATCTGGATTAATAATGAGACATAACCTTGGAGAATCTCAGAGAGTGAAATAAATTGTTCAGATCTCCACTTATCTTATTATCTATTTTGAATTTTTTACTTCTATCTCATTCACTATTTGTTGCACATACAAAAAGCTGCATGGTGTAATACAACAGATACAAAAAGGAAGGAATGGTTAACCATACTCGTGTGCGTTAACACTGCATTACATGGCGTCATTGTTATTACAAGATTGTTATCATCCTATTGCAACTGTATTAATAGACTACTATCAAAAAATTTCTGTTTCACATATGAAAATATCTGTCATCTTATTTCAAGATCACCATAAATAGTGCCCGTAACTAGTTGTCAGGTGTCCTATGGCATATACACTTTTAGATCAATATCTGTAGTTTCCTGTTCTTTGCCTTTCTATTTAATACAATTTATACAATGGATTTGCAGTTTGAGCTTTTCCATTTGGTTGGCGATTTCTTGCAATAACCAAATTACAATCTTCAGCTTGCTAATTGCAAAAAAGATAAATTTTTAAATGAATGATGCATGATTGAAATAACTACAGAGGTATAACGATATTGTCTGTCCAACATTTCTCAAAACACAATTGGCATCACTTGTAGAAATACCATCAATGAGGTAGATCAGAAAAGAGATGTCAGGAGTTTGTGCTTAGACTTCTTTTGGTGATAAAGAAGTATTTGATTGTCTGAATCTTCATACAATTTTGCCACAGGAATTGTTAGATCTACAGGACCATTGATTGTCAGATCTAGAGATCCATTGAACCATGTGTTGGTGGTGCCACTGTAGTGTCAGTGTTGATGAATAATGCAAGCACACCAAGGATAGTCAAAATGATTAAGATCACTTACAAAGGTGTTCCAAATTCGATAACTGCTAAGCAGATCATGAGAGAATCTGGCATGAGTGCTAAGAGGAGTCAACATAAAGGACCACAAGATACAGATGGGACAAATAGAATAATCCCAGATTTTGATAAATAATATTCCTGTTCTGAATAGTTAATATAGTCCATGACATACCTTTCATAGATTCAGGACTCTCTTAGATTCCATGCTAGAGTGGATTTTCCTATTTCCAACAGGAAGTAAACAAGACACCTAATAAATTTTGCCTCCATATGTGTTCGTTTGTCTTCTCTCTAAATTCTTCATTTTGATGTTTGTTATTGGACTTTCATTCCCATACTGTTGTTTTAGCTTGTGTATTTTTCAACGACAATTAAATGGCAAAAGCATTTGAATTACTAAAGGAAATTGCCTCTGACATTGTTTATGTTCGTTCATTCCTTTTATATGTTGGTTTGACTTGTAGGATGGGAAATTAGCATAGCACCCAGTTTGAGAAACTTGCTTTCTATACAAAGGTAACTATTTCTCTCTCTTGACCCCTCAAGTTGTTATATATGCATATGTAGCTCTACAGTAATCTAGACACTAATCTCATCTTCTTTTATAACATAAAAAGATTTTTTTCCTGTTCATAATATCATCCATTTCCCTTCATGAGTAATTGACCAAGACATGCTTCTCTAGTAAAGTCTTTTTTTTTTGTTTGCTTCTCATCATGGTTCTGACTGTAGCACCCTCTATGATGGTTAAACAATGCATAAGCTTGTAACCCAAAAAGTGAAAAAAACAAACACATATATTGGTCCATTGCATATTTAAGCATCTAGGATGTTTAAACTTTCCTTGTAGGTGTAGATCAAAACAAGTAAAATTTCTGACCCGTATTTTTTATAAAATATACATCATACAGATATAATAGGATATGTCGCTTATTCTGATTCTAAATCAAATACATATAGATCAATGAGCTCCAAGATCAGCAAGGCGATTTCTGTTTACTCAAAAACCATTGTGTTCAGAGTCTTTTGAGGGAATATAAGGGCATCGTCAAGGTCATTATGGAAGGGAAAAGATAAGCATGATTTGTATAAATGAATCATAAAACAGCAATTTAGGGCTTCAAAAATTTTCTGTTCTGTGAAGGTGCTCTTCCTCTAACTATGTTCAATGAATCAATGCTGGCAAAGTTGTGAATCGTTTGGCCAGTTTCTCTAGGTCCTTTACCACCTCGTCTTTTTGAAGCCACAATGAGCTATGCATGGAGGTTTCAGATTGTTATCTTTTTGACCTCCTAGGCTTCTTGCTCTCAATGATATGTATAATTAGCTAATATATTGTGTAATAAAACAATTTCCAAAACAAAAAGATATATTGTTACATTAGCCACCATGATATGAACCTATGAAGTTCTTTAAAATAATTTGTACATAGATAATACAAGGTATTTGTTTATGGGATTCTGGTTATCTCAGTAGTCTTTTGTCCTCATCATTATCTGGTGTTTCATACTCTTAAAAATTAGCTGCCACTGTAGAAATGCATATAAATCTTGGTGTTTCCAGCATCCCCTTTTTTTCTCAGAAGTAAGATGCTAAAAAGTTGGCTATAGGCCCTCAGTAACATTGAACAACAGTTTGGTGCATGTTTCAATCAGTTGGCAGATGCTGATCTGATTCTGGTTGTTCTGAGCTTGTTCCACATGAAGATGATGGTGATAGATAACAAACCTCAAGAAGAAGATGATGACCTTGGTCATGATCATAATAGAGGGCGCTAGCTAATAGATAGGATGCTTCCACATAGATGTTGACCAACCTACAGGTTCATAGGCAACTTGCCTACAGAAGTTATCCATCGAAGTTTCCTTTTACTTAAATATCTTAAATTCAACTCCATTCGTTTCCATGTTTTTATCCCTTTTCAGAAATGGAGATCAAGATTATCTCAATTCATTTTATTGAAAAGATTCCAAAGAACAAGAAAGAGGAGAAAATAATGAATAGAAAATAAATTTTATGAGATTGATTTTACTTGATCATTTTAAATTCAACTCCATAATTTTTCGTGTTTTGTCTTCTTTTTGAAATCAAAATGAAGCTCGGTTGATTTTGTTGAAATGATGTGAAAAAAATTAAGGCACATGGAGCTAAAGAAAAGGCAAGAAAAGAAATATTATGAGATTTGGTTTTACTTTAACATTTCAACTCCATGTTTTTCCAAGTTTTATTTTCTTTATGAAATAGAGATCAGGATTACTTCAACTCATTTCATCAAAATGATTTGAGAAGACAAGCCCATAGAGTAATAAAAGGCAAGAAAAGTAATATTTTGAGAGGCATTGCCATGGTCAACAGTTGTAATGCATGATATCTCTCAAATAAGATCATAATATGTTTCCATTAAGGATTGTTACATCAAATACTAAATTGCAAATCTACTTCAGTTCTTGATTCAACGGCTCGTCAGATTCAAACTAGTACACAACCACACATATAGTTCAGCAGCACAGCATGATCTAACAGAGCAGCCCCTACCCTAATAAGAACGACATGAACAGTGCAATCTCCATATTGCCAAACAGTCGAGACTCATCTCTATAGAATGGTGTCCTGGTGCAGATAGGTGTGTCAAGAAGAAAACAGTAGGAGGAGATTAGTCCAGTTGGGACTTTTGGATGCATATATCTCCTAGAAAAGGCATCGAGCTAGGGCTTGCCACCGATCCCTGGTTTTCCTTTCACAGTAGGGTCATGTTTAATGTTGGGTCTTCCATAGTCATAATCTAGTGTAGTCTCCAATAATGCCTTTCTGATGTATATCTGCCATTAAGAACATCAGAAATACATGTATCACAGAACCTCATGAAATACATATTAGTAAGTTATCAGTACTTGTTCCCGACAAAAGGAATAATCAAGTAAAGAACTCCTGATATTATACTGATTTCATTCTCATCAGTTGTCATTTATATAAAAGAATGCTGTTTAATAACTTTTGAAGGAATTAGCACAGTCAACTAGTAAAGACTCTTATGAGATTCAGATCTTGAGATCAAATTCCACCTTTCGCTGAAAAATTAACTTTGCACAAAAACAAACAGTTGGACAACTGTATCGGTTATGTTAGAGGTCAAAAAGAACAAGGTTCACTTGTATAGTATGGTTATGAAAACAGGATCAACTTGGTCAGTTCAATTGGAAAAATCATATAGTGTGGTCTTGACTTAGATCTAACATGTTTAAGTATGGGATTAGATCAAGTACAACAGGTTAGTTTTTGGCAAACCAGAAATACTGACTGGTCCAATTCACACAAAGCCATTATGGAATGTCATCCATAAATGATCAAAAGCTCCTCTCTGCCCTTAGACCGCAATTATTTCTATCCTTCAAAAGTCAACAACAGAAAGGAAAAGAAAGTCTAAAAGGGCCTGGAGACTTTGGAATTAATCCCTTAGTTACTACCTTATACCTTGTTATAAATATAATAATATTATCCTTTTACCAATCATCTAGTCTGAAAGACTAATTTACTAGTCCGACTAAATATCTCAATGATCCAAGGCCTCACCAGGTTGTTACTGGTCCAGTTTTGATAACTACGCTTTAAAAGTGGTATTGTATAGCATGGGAGCTGCATATAAGTGAGATCCATCTTAAATCACTTTGAGTCTTTCAGATTTTTGCTACATCTCATGAACCATCAACAGTTTGTTTTGTTAGATAATGAAAGGTCATCTTGAGTAGATGGATTGAACAACTACTACGGAGTCTTAAAATGGTTATTGATTACTCTTAGAGTCAAATGTTCTCTCCAATTGTACAATCAAGTTTTAGCAGCAAGATTGGGCCTTGTCTAATTATGTTCATGGCTTCTGGGGAGCATACTTCTAACGTAGCTTACCTCGACTTCTCATTTTTTTTGAGAAAAAAAACATTTTCATCGTTAAAGTCATGGTGGAACAAAACTCTATCTCACTAACATGTAAATGATTAACTTGCAGAATACCTTGGTCACCAGGCATACAGATTCTTTTCCATCCTGATTTCCTCCAGCTTGACCTGTGAAGGAAATTAAACTACAGTTCACAGGAGAAAGCAACAACGAATAGGACAAAGAAACTACTTACATGAAGATGATTCAGAGAGAAGGATCAGAAAAAGAACAATGAGGAACGTTTTGAGTCTTGGCATGATTGCTGCTATTCTTGATTCTCTCATGTTGTTTGTGGGAGCTCGGCAGGGAACCAAGGCCCCTTTTATGGTTGATTAATGGCAGCTGGAAAAGAATTTGCCATGGTCCATCATTCATGATATCTTCATAGAATGATGATGAAATCCATTAGCCCACCAGAAATAAGTCAACTACACTAGCTTCAGTAACTCCTGCATTCCTACTTGCTTCTCTCCACCGAAAGCTACTGAATGGTGTAAGTGCAAAACAACAGGTCTTGTGTATGGCCCCAAATTTTCTACTTTCTTTTACTAGGGTTGAACATAGTTCTTTTTTACTTGCAAGCTCTTTGATTGTTTACAGGGCACGTTTAGATCCATAGCTACAAATTGAAGGTCCACAACTTAAGGGTTAACCCCCAAGCAATCTGTTGCTTGTTATGGTTCTTGACTGCATGTCATTGGTGGCAGACAAGCATAGAGATGTTTTATAGTACAGCTATAAGGAAAACTGTGTGAAAGAACTCCATGGAGTGCGGTAAGTACTGGTTAGGATCTCCAGCAGCCCCATGGAATACAAGAGAGAGAGAGAGATGAACAACTTGTTTACATGACATCAGATCACGAAATTACTAGTTCAAATTATGCTCTTAGAAGCAGAAAGTTCACAGGCTATGTGTACGAGGACACAGGTAACAATTGTCCTTTTTTTTTGTTTCCTTTTGTCATGTGGAAGCTGTATGAGCTGCATCAATCATAATGCATTTTGACTTGCAAACACGAGCTGCAGGATGCAAGAGATACGTTGGCACCATCGTGACTGGGGGGCAGTACAAGCAACAAAATGCCATCACAGCCTACCTAAACTGAGCCATGGTGAGTGGATGGATAAGCATGTTCACCTTGAGCAAGTGCATGTGGCTGCAAAAAGGTGGCCAGGGAAAGAAGTGGAAGCAATAGTGCGCCCAAGAGGGAGTCAAACCGAAATCACTGGTTGATACTCTGGTGCTGCTTACTGTTTACCTGCTTGTGCAGCTCTGCTCTCATATCCTTTTCATCTTGGTGGTCTGGTTGGACCTGTTGCTTTATAAAATCAGGACCAAGATTTCGATAGTGTCAATCTTATCATTCAGGCCAACTTATAGACCAAGTTGACTTGCTATCCATGTCACTTGCTCTATTGCCATGCCATTGAACAGTGCATTAGGATTAGAGACAATAATGTGTTTTTTCCATGTAATTGATCTTGATCTTGTTAATGTTGTTAGTATTTTTTTTTACTCCTTAATAGGAAAGGGTTATTCGGGGAACCGAGACAAGAAATTCAAGTATGAAAAGAAACTCTTAGAAATTAAGGTTTGCTGCTCTATGAATGCGCCAGATATCTTTAAGGTCTTGAAAAGGCAAGGAGTGATGTAGAACAAGGAACATTTGAAATATTCAGCATATTTTTCTCTGAAAAAGGATGTGCAAAAAAAGTCTTGAATGTAAGTTCTGGTTTGTAATTTGAATTTTTCTCTACTATATCCATACCAACAATATCGAATCACGGAAGGCTTGTCTTCATTCTAAGTTTTCCTTTTGTATCAAAGTCTTCTTTCCCATGTTGCTAAGACAATAATGTGTTTGTTCCATTTAGATCTTGTTTGTGTTGGCAAGTAGAAAAAAGAGTGGCTTGGGGATTCAAAGCTCTTTAGAGGATAAGAAATTCAGATACAGAAAGAAACATTTTATATCTATCTCAAGGTCTCAGTACAAGAACAGTGTTGAAGAAAAAGAAAATACTTTTAGTGCTTGTAAAATTTACTCTAATTGATGAGGTCTTTTTCTCCTCTTTATATCTTAGTGGTAAAATACATAATGAAGAATTTATATATATTTTTTCTCTACATGCGATTGCTAGTTTTTGAGGTTCTGTTTAATTGTTGATTCTCTTAATTTCCTATAAATCCAAAAGCATATTAGGTTGTAAATATGACATGAGAAGAATGATGCTTGGGGCAATCGATCAAAGCATAGGATGGTTGACATTGCTGTTGATTCCTACGTACACTACCTGACTACCATGCCAAGTCAAAGTAACAGTTCCTTGATTCATGATGATGTGAAAAGATGATGACTGGCATTTTCTTGGCTGCTTTAGATCCAAATGTCAATATCAATCAGCCAATAACTCACACTATTTGCACCAATAGCAGTCCACTCCTTTTCTTTTCTTGTTGGCATGAGATACTTGTAAGATATGATACATTGACTAAACCCAAGGTCACTATGACAATCATATGGACACAAAATTAATTATATATATAACAAATTCGATTCCACAATCCTTATCCTATCCTAGTTTTGATGAGTTCCACTATATCATATACCATGGTCTGCAGTACCGAACTGTACCACCCGGTACGGGCGGTACATATCGGTCCTATAGGTTATCGGTACGCGGATCACTTATTACCGGTTCGAGTGTACTGTAGCAGTGTTACAGTACTCGGCACACCTGGGTGTACCGCTCGGTACACGTGGGTGTACCGCTCGGTACACGTGGATGTACCGCTCGATATACCGTATCGTACCGGTACCGAGCCCAGGTCGAAACACCGGTACGGTACAGTATTGCGAACCTTGTTATATACATATATTTTAGATACACAACACTCAAAAACTAATCATTTGTCTATCGTTCTCATTCTTTTGTTGTCGCTCGTGAATTTTATGTTTTCCTATTGAAATATCTATCACATATATGGATATATTTTTATTTTTATTTTATATTAAATTTCCTCAAACATATTTTCTTATTAGTTTAACATGTTGTTTTTTTAATAGGATTATCACGAAGACAGCTAATCATTTGATGGACAAGTCAGGAGTTTTTTTTTTCTTTTTTTTAAACTCCTCTATATGTCATAAACATTTTGGGATATAGAAAAAAAGTGTGGCGGGAAAAAGAAAAAGAATAATGGAAGATTTTTTTTTTCAAAAATTCACCAAATACAATTAATATATTTATTAACCTTTGACACTTTTTCATTTTTGTTTGAAAAATCTTGTCATCTTCCCCTATTCATCTTTGCGCCTCAAAAGGCTTATCTCTCTCTCTCTCTCTTAGGGTTTCCCGACTCCAGCTGCTCGACGGCCGCCCAATCCCCCGTCCTCCGACTCCGGTCGGCACCGGAAACCTCTTCCGGTCCCGAACGCTTCCGGTAACTCGCGTAAGTGGTGATCTCGAGATCCTCTTTTCCCTCTCGGTTTTGTTCTTGGATTGTGAATCCTCGCTGGATGGGGCAAACCGAGTTTTTCTTTCATTTATCTCTCTGTGCTCCCGATCCGGAACTCTTTTAGTAAGAGCTACTAGCAGGGGCACTTAATCTCATCTGAGTTTAACGGATTTCTTGCCGTTTGTGCTGCTACGTCGTCTGACGTGATTTGGAAGATTTGGAATCGGAGAGTTGTTTTAGTTTAGATTTTTTTTGGGAATCTTGATCAATGGTTCTCTGTTTTTTGCATGCATTTGGCGTTATAGGGAATCATGGATAATTAATTGCTATCGGCAGAGTTTATTCACAGCTGGTCCGGCATTGTGAACGTATACAATATCATGTTTGTGATTGTCTTACTCGGATCTGCTGATGATGTTGTTCATCATATATCAATAACATCAAGCACTCATGTTTCCTGACCGTGAATGGGGTAATATGTAAAATTTCAGTTCCTGTATTGATTGGTTGATGAATGAGGCATCACCATCCCAATGACAAATGGATGTTCTACTCACAATTTTCGTCCTGACAATTTTTGGACTCAAGTGATTACCTCTTTATCAAATCTGTTCAAACTCATTTGGATGGTTATTTTCCTTCGCGTATCCGTTCCATCCGATTGATAGTACCCTATAGTCTGGCTTAAGGAAGTCAGATACTTGTGTTCACATTAGAAAAAAATTGGAACCTGTTGCCATCCCTGGTGAAGATTTGTTCTTGTGAAAAAATTGTTCATCCATTCATTTGAAATGGATTTGTTTGAGTTAATTTCTTTTCTTTTCCAGTCATTCATAATCATCCATCATCATCCTTTTGTGCACTTAATTCTGTATAAGGTATCACTGGTGGAGTTTGATGGTAGTAAATCTGCATTGTCATGTTTCTTTTGCTCGGGTAACCTGTTGGTAACTTCAGTATTGCCAGTCTTCTGATACGTTCAGTGGATTATGGTTCATGTTTGTTGGTGGTTGAGGTGATTGAAGCATGCTCTTTGGGTTTTCAGCGATTCTCAGTATTTTCTCTTTGCATCAAAGGACTCGGGGCTTTCTAGTCTGGGTTTGAAATCATTGGACTATGGTCTGGCATTAACTTGCTAAATCATTTCCGACTACCCGAATGGTATTTCCAACCAAACAAGAGATTTTAGAGGCGCTATTTGAGCATTTATTATTATTTTTATTGGTTACTTGGTAAGCTGAGTAAGATGGATATTCTCATCTAAAAACCAGAATCTTGGTTCAAGTACTTGATAAAAGAAGCAAATCATCTAGACCCAATGTTGAAATTAATTTGAATAGGCTATAAACATGACGTCATAGAGGAATACTGGAACTGAAATTTTGCATGGTATCATATATTTGGTCATGAAATTTGGGTAAATGATCTTAGTCATACTGGAACAAGAACAATAGTTAGATTGTACTTATAATAGTCAGAGAATTTCAAAAATAATGTTGGTAAGCAAAAAGAGTAACAGCTTATTGAAAATATTCTACTAGGCAACTTTGAGAGCCTTTCACTAAAGAAGAATGGCTATGAAAACTATTGGCAACCCTTTAGCAATGAAGTCTTGTTTTGCTGGAAAGCTTGTTATTTGGCTCCCACACATGTTAATATTTTAGCATTATCACTTTAAAAGGTTGCATGACTTGTAACGGCCTATCTTCTGGAGTTGAAACTTTAAATTGACCTGCCATAGTCTCTAGATATTCTTCGTACTTCGAATAAATTATCTATATAGGTAGGGCCAGACTTCATGTTATGCCTTAGTGCTTTTCTATTTTTCCTTTTTTTTATCGCAATACACACGTATTTTTTATGTCGTCTCCATTTGATTGTCTGAAACTCTGTAGGGCATAACTTTCGGTTGTCATCTCAAGAAGATCTTTCCTACGATGTGAATGGTTGGCCATAATTTGGAACATGAAGAGCATAAATTTTGGTGGAGGACTCAGGTACCTACTTTTGTGAGGCCAATTTTTCCAGTTGTACTTTGATAAAAGAATTTTTCTTGTTATGAGTGAATGTTATGAATTAAGAAATCCTTATTCAAATTAGAGAAATGGAAACTCTCTTTGGGGATCGATGATTGTTTGGACATTTAGTTGCAAAGAAGGTGCATATTGTGTATTCACATATTTAATGGGTGTTAGAGTCAATATCTTGGGATTTTGATTGAATTATTAAAATTATATCCATTTTTTTGGAATTGTTGAGTTTTAAACGCTCTTTTTTCTAATAAAACATGTTTAAACTTGTGGACATCTATGCATTTTATGTGCATATCTGTGGCACGCAAAAAGGTAGCATATACCTGACATGTAAGGGATGTTGAAGTCTATAATCATCATCCTTAGTTGGTGAGTAGGGTAAAAGAGGCAGAAAATAGGACCTACATAAAAACTCAGAAGTTTTTGAGTAAATTTACATATTTTACATTGACCCTGGAGGTGCAACCTCTTGGTGAAAGATGCTACTTTGTTTCTACTCAGTGCATCTAATTTGAGGTGGTTTCAATGATCAAATTGGACTTCAAGCTCAATTGATTATGACTTGATAACTCTTTTGGTTTATTTGGATGCTCCATCAATGAGATGAATTCACTGTATCTGGCTATTGCTTTTAAGTGCACCATACTAATCTGTTTATTCTCCCACCAGTATTTCTTCAGTATTCTTCACCTACGGCTTGCATTACTTACAAACTCCACGTTCATCCAAGTTGTCGACTGTTCATATTGCTATCTTGAGGAATGCACCTCATGCATTGATGGCTTTTCGTTCCAATCCAAAAGATCTTCATGGGGGAACTTTGCAACTAATGTTTGATGGATCACCATCTGGAATCAGTTCTTCATTCTTGGATTTAGGTTTTGTGACCGAGCAGTGTGAGCATAAGAATATCACACAAAATGAAATTCAGTTTCATGAATTTGATGGTGAGCAATCTGAGAAAACTGATGGTGCTTGTAAAAGTGCTCAAGAGGTTTCTGACAGGGAAATCCGGAGAAGGCAAAAGATTGGAGCAGCAAACAGAGGCAAGATACCTTGGAACAAAGGAAGGAAACATAGTGACGGTATAATAATACTTTCCTATTTCATCCTTGTGATCTTTGTTGTAGTGAGATGATCTTTTCTTTATTTGCATTGTTATCTGATTTTGACTTGTTGTGTATTAATCTCACACACTATTTTGATTGTAGAGACTCGAGAGCGCATCAAGAAAAGAACTATAGAGGCCTTAAGTGATCCCAAGGTGATGTCATGTAAGAATCAATTTCATAAAATTGTCAATGGCTAATGTTATATTATTTGTTGGTGATGTTGCATTCTGAGTTTTGCTAATTTGTACGAATTTTGTCAGGTCAGGAAGAAGATGTCTGAAAGTCCTCGGTCGCATAGGTATGCTCATATTCAAGTCCTCATTCTCCTAGCTAGACTCTCCCAGTTAGCAAAAGTCATGTTATTAATGTTAGTTTAATCTACTGACCCACAGTAAAGTTGCTTTACAATAGCTTAATAGCTTCTAGAACTTATGACTTTACAAGTAATCTGCTGCAGTGATCAGAGTAAGTCTAAAATAAGTGCTTCTCTGACAAAGATTTGGGAAGAACGTCTGAAACAGAAAAGGCTGCAAGAGAAATGCTATTTGTTTTGGGCCAGAACTATTGCGGAGGCAGCAAAAATAGGCAGTCTTGATCAAGAGGAATTGGAGTGGGACAGCTATGAGAAAATGAAGGCTGATATGGTATCTGAACAAATAAAATTAAAAGAAGAAAAAGCAAGGGCCAAAGAAATCGCAAAGCTAAGAGCAGAAAGTGTTGCAAAAGATAAGGCCGAAAAAGTTGCAAAGCTTGCTGAGCAGAGGAAATTACAGAAGGAGAAGGCTAAGGCTAGAAAGTTAGAGGCATTGTCTCGGAAAAAATCTGTTGATGAGAGAAAGAAGACAGAGCTGTCTAAGGGTTTAAAACTTAAGGCAATATTGACTAAGGTAATACTCATAAATGATATTTGTGTTTTCTCAACCGTTTACTGAATGTTTGCACAAAAAGTATTTGTCATTATTAAATAATCAAATTGTTTACCAGACTTTTCTTAATGTACACTGCCTATACTTGGTTTCTAGTATTTGCTGTAGAAGTAGCTATGAATCTTCAGATTGGCATGCACAAATTTCTTGAATAAAATGGACAGGTAGAAGTGTGTCTACTTTTTCATCCACTAAACATAGATAAAGCTAAGGATCTATTTATGCTTGCTTTGTAATAGGTTTTCAAGCAATTTCTGCTGCTTGTCAAAAGTCTTATATTGACAATTTTTCTGTTCTCCAAGTCTGATGATAATATTCTTATTCTTATTCTGAAGTTCCACCATCGTAAGAGACAGTTGGAGACTCTTCAAACAGAGATAGTAGCTAAACCTGGGCCAGACTTGACATTGGATATAGAACTGGTTAAGAATGAGAGAATGCAAAGAAGAATCTCACTTGCTGATCAAATTAAAGCTGTTAAGAACAAAAAAGCAGAATTTGCTGTACAAAGAGTTCGAGCAAATGCATTGTTGGATTCTGCATATGAACAAAGAGCGGGAGATCATTGATTTCATGGCATTTACTGAACACACAAAGAGCGACACATTATATGGGATGCAGTAGGTAATATTACTGTTTTTTTTTTATTTACAAAGTTTTATGCTTCACATGCTATCTAATTATTCTCATTGCAATTTTTTAATAATAATAAACAGGCCCTAAATAATTGTTCAAAGTTACCTGCTTTCTTATGTTACTATTTTTTAGTTGCCTCAACTGCCCATGCATATCTTTTCTGTGAATAATCAGCTGAATGCTGCTGTATTATGAGGATATATACTCCACCACACCTTGCCACATTTTAGTATTTAGTCAGTAATTTTGTGTTCTTCATGCATAAAATACCACTGATTTGCCTTTCTATGATGCATGTTTGAATTAGAATTTACTGAATATCTGTGTGCTTTCACAAACAATATTGCCTTATCTGGAAAAGTAGGTGCTTTTTTTTCTGCAAGGAACCACCATTTGGACCTGGTTGTGGTGTTTCTTTTGCACTATCCACAAAATTTTTGCATATTAATTATACATGGCATATATTCTATTACATAAACAGTGATAAGAAAAGATGTTACTCCAACGGATTTCGTAAGGCATTCGCAAGTTCTTGGTTTGATATATTTTTTTACGGAGCTATCCTTTTCATCAATTTTCACCTTCCAGAATGCATGTCTGGTTATTATACAAATGAGAATTTCAGTCTCCATCAGGACTCTATAATGTCTTAGATTCTGGCATGTAATCACATTGATTTTTAATCATAGTTGCTTTGATCACTGTGAGTTGGAACTAATGCCAACTTTCCTCTGTTTCTCTTGGAAAAGTTGTCTAATTGGAGGCACTCAATAGTTAAGGCACTAAGACGATCCCTAACCTTGCGGTGGGAGTACCAATCGTAAAGACGCTATAAAGTGCGTTAGTTCAATGTGGTCTTCATTCTTGTGGATGGTATTTTTGAAAGAAAGTAGTACCTCGGGAAGCGACCTAAATGCTTGGAATGCAACTATTTAGTTTCGTTTGAGGGGAAAAAAAAAAGAAATTTTCATTTAAAATTTCAATATTTGTGGAGATTTGGTAATATACTCGGTTGTCTAATTCACTGTTTGTTGCCTTCTGAAGGGCAGATCATGATATTGGTCAAAGATCCTACTAGACGACAAAGAAGATCTTGCTACCAGTGTACTATTCTGCAAGGAAATGGGATAAAGACTCAAAAGGTCATTTTTCGGCAGATGAGAAGCTTGAGTTTCTAGAGATTGTAGAAAGACTTGGGTGGCCTCCTGCTCTATGATTTCCTTTTGTTCGCGAAACAGCAATGTAATCCTTTGGATCACAAGTTGTTCAAATTCTTTTCAGGTGACATACTAACTTACTGGTTTCATTCGTATATTAATCTTGATGAAATTTGTTTCTGTCTTTCTGTAGTTTAGAATCATGGGATAGAAGCGTTACATTTGCGCACTTGATCCAAAGAAATTAACAGTAATTACAGTAAACATTTTGAGTTTTGTTGGATAAATGTCAACACTTTTATTTTGAGAGATGTACGAGGGTAATCTAAATGACGAGTCAGCTATTTCCACTATTTGAAAGACGAGCGGCCTACTCGTCTCGTCTTGCGTCGGTCAAGGTGATTGGAGATATCAATGGGCCCACCTGATTATCCAGTTACCATGCTGGTAGTTTTCGACCCAACTGGTAGGTAAATTACTTTTGTGACAGCCGTATCCAGCAGGACTAAATATAGATTAACTCTTATATTTGGACTATATTAGTATCATCATCTGGTACTTAAAAAAAAATATATTAAAATCTTTATAATTTTAAAAATAAGAATAAATAACTTTATTTGCTTTGGATAAAGTGATGAGCACAAAGATAATTTCAATATTTTTTTTGTTTTCAATGACTTTAAACAAAAGAGATTTTGATTTTGATTTTTTTCATCACTCAAGGTATCATATGTTGTGTTTTTCATGAATGCAGTTGACGACGTTATTATGTTTTTTGTTAATACAGTTGATGATAGTTGATGACGTTAAATTTTTTGTTAATACAATTGACGATATTAGATTAGAGCAAATTAGATAATTTGTTTCACTTTTGTTAATTTGAAAGGTTGAAAATGAGGTGGTTTCCAAGACTAACACTTAGATCTATGTTCTAACAAACAATATCTTGCACTGTTTACTTCAGAGGTGCAATATTTCTTATTCGTAGGAAGGAGAATGTTGGAACAAGGAGAGGCTTTACCGTGCAAGCTAGGAAGGACTGAACAGGATTGTAGTGGAGGTCGATGCAGAGAATTCCAAATCCTGAACAAAAGATGACTCCACCGTAGCGATGCTAAATCTAATTAGGGATATGATGTACATGTTGGGATATATATACCAACTGGTTTGTAGATTTTGTTAGAACTTCAGCAAACAAAAAGGGGAAAACAATGGCTTAGGCTATTCATCTCTCCTAGGTTTGGAAGATGCAGAAGTTCTTTTGGAAAACAAAAAGAGTTACCGTCACATCACACCAACTTGTTCAAAATTATATAAGAATCTTAATGTTTGTACATCTATCCATGCAGATGATGTAGCAATAATGCCGAATATTCTTGAGTTTGCTGCTGTTCCTACTTTAATAGTTCACTGATTTATGACTCAGTTTGATAACACTAGTCCCTAAATTTTGACACAGGCGTAAAACACACAACACAATTCTCAAAATAATTAACAGTGCATGACGATCGAAATATCGGTTTCTTTTCGATGACAAAAAAATACCAGATTAGAAGGACACTCATCTGCGAGCCCACCCTTCTGAAACTCCAAGCTACACGAACCTGCAAATTCAGCTCCCAAAGGATGCCGATAACTATTAATTAGCACATCACAAAGTGCCAAACATTAGAATAGAAATGGGAACTCCTTCGACCTGTTCCTGAAGGGGCTGGGCTTACGGGTTTAGGCAGAAAGTCTTGCTCTCAGCTCAGATGCCACCGCATCAATGAATTCTTCAGTGTTGAGGTACTGGGCTCGAGTAACGCTGAGGTTTGAAAGATTTGCAAGTAATTAATCAAATTTCTTGGATTAGAACACACAAAAATAGTTGGCACCCAAGTGACAATAGGTCTGAGAGGGCTGGAGAATACCTGGATCCGTGTATGAGAAGTGCAAGATCTTTGGTCATTTTCCCAGACTCAACAGTTCCAACACAAGCTGCTTCCAATTTCTCAGTAAAATCAAGGAGCCTGGCATTGTCATCTAGCTTTGCCCTATCAAATCACCAAGCATATAAGAGCTTCAGCATGGACTTTTGTAACAATTAAACAAGCTGGTTTCTCAATAATTCATCTTCATGTATAGAATAATCATATGAGCAAGATTTGTGATCCTTTTGAACTCCGACCCACGGAAAACAAGACCTATGGCACATTCATAAATTGCAAATTAAAAACCGATGCCAAAGCTGATGTTTCCAGTTAATGCTTGTCTTATAACAATGCTGTTGATCATAAAAGATATGTCCAATAAAACCACACCTGTGAGCAAGCCCTCTTGACCAGGCAAAGATGGAAGCTATACTGTTTGTACTGGTTTCACCACCTTTTTGGTGAACCCGGTAATGGCGGGTTACTGTTCCATGTGCAGCTTCAGCTTCAATGGTTTTCCCATCAGGGCACACCTAGAATGAATGCAGATTTTTTTTTGTTTGTATGAATTAGTATTGCTTTACAGGAATCTTTACAGAAGGAAACAACTTAAACCTTATTATTCATCATACGTAGAAACATGCATAAACCTTTTTGTTTTAGCAATGACTAGTGAGGGGGAACATTGTAATCAGGCATAGAACAAGCAATGACTAGTGAGGGGGAACATTGTAATCAGGCATAGAACAAGCATAACTCGTAATAGTTGATATAGGTAGTGTTCAGATTTGTAAGAGTTTGTTACATGCTAAACTAGGCTGTCCTCATGACAAAACAAGCTGCCTTTAACCCAAAAAAAGCAAAATAAGTTTTTTTTATTACTATAAAATTATCATTTTCAACTGCAATTATCATTTGTCAAAAAGAGCATAAAGTCCTACTTACAAGTTCAAACAAAAGGATTTTACTCCAGGAATGTAAGTTAGAAGTTCCATTAATTTGAGAGATGAACATAGATGAGTCAATTTTCCATCATGAAACACATTTTATTTGCTATATGTGTACATACCAACACTGATGTCATCAGGCCAAGAGATCCAAAACCTGCAAAATTGATACGGTTTGTCTGATTGTTAGAAAATTGCCTTAAATTAGCTTTCTGCAAGCATCAGGAATTCAACAAAAGGTTCAAAACTAATCTTTTCTAAGTATGCAACAAAAAGAGGACATGAAACTTGATGCATAAAGCTGGCAGAGTTCAAACCTTGAGCTAAGAAATCACTCTGTACATCTCCGTCGTAGTTTTTGCAAGCCCAAACATAACCACCTTCACTCTTAAGTGCATAAGCAACCATGTCATCAATTAGACGATGCTCATACCTGTCAGAAAATGGGATGAGACAGACAGAACTCTCAACCAAGAAAACATTATAGAGCAGTTGAAGAATGCTAACCAAATTCCTGCAGCCTCAAACTTGGATTTCCATTCAGTTTCATAGACCTCTTGGAATATATCCTTGAACCTGCAGGATTTAATAGTATGCAAGATAAAGCTAGTAACAAGTACAAAGTCATATGAAACGTATCAATGTTGTGATACAATCTGAGAGTAAACTGTTTACCTTCCATCATATTTTTTCAAAATTGTATTTTTGGTGCTAAGATAAAGGGGCCATTTCTTTTGGTAAGCAGTAGCCATGGAAGCATCCGCAAATGCACGAATTGACTGTATACAAACATACACAAAAAGAGAAAAAAGATAACTATCACATCATGTGATTCACATGTATTAGCGAGCATGTACTGTAAATGTCACAAATGGGTGAAGGTTCCAGACCTCATCAGTGTTGTACATTGATAAGGCAACTCCACCTGCACCAGTGAAGTTGAAAACCTCTAGTTCAACTTCCTCATCTTTTCCCTCTGAAAGTGATAAGCAAGCAAGAAAACTTTAGCACACATCAACAAAGAAACAATGCAGAAAAGAAATGCCTGCTGTGAACAAGCATAAATTATCACTTATCGTACCGAAAACTAATTTAAGCTTTCCAGGCCCTTTAATTACTGTATCAGTTGCACGATACTGATCACCAAAAGCATGTCTCCCAATGCATATTGGCTTTGTCCATCCTGAGAATGTGACATATCAGATTAGCAGGTAAACGATGGCAGTCGCACAAACCTAGAACATCTTTCATTTGAGTACCTGGAACAAGCCGTGGGATGTTTTTACAGATAATTGGCTCTCTAAATACAGTGCCTGCAAGAAAAGGATGTGTAAATCCAAGTGGTATAATCATTAGGGATTAGTTATACAATTCCGACACTCAAGACAGCTGACCATTCAAAATATTCCTGATTGTTCCATTGGGGCTCTTCCACATGGATTTCAGGTTGAACTCCTTAACCCGAGCTTCATCTGTCATTATTCACAAGTGTCCATATATGATTATCACAAAAATTTATTGCATATAGTTTAATGTGTTAAATTCAATTGCAGCTTTACCTGGAGTTATTGTTGCACATTTGATTGCTACATTATAACTGCAGCCACATCACACTAGTGTTAGCATACAGTCAAAGATATAATATATGGCATAACAATTCAAAATTCAGAAGAATATTTGCCAATTTAAGATACCAATAAGCAATCAAGGAACTGGCCAACATCTAGCAATTGCAGGGTCAAAACACTGTACTAGTCCATTTCAGCTCAGTTATTCCTTAAAATTCAAATTGGTTTCAGATTCTATATTTTGGTCACATTTTGGTTGACTTGTATAAAAATCCTTAACGTGAACTCAACTTCTGAATATACATCATTGGATATGAATTACCTGATTAGATCTAGCAAATGTAGATAACTATCCACATAGGTGCCTTATTTTCTGAACCCCAATGTCTTGCCCTCAGTTAAGCACTAACTGGAAAATTTGAGAAAAACAATTCCACCCTCCACCCCAAATATATATAAAAAAACGAAAATCCAGTTTCTCTGTCATCTTGGTTCAGTTCTGATTCAGCTAACCAAAATCTTAATTAGTTATCTTTAATTTGAACATATGTTGAAAACTGTAAAAAACCAAACTATGAGAGTAACATTCATTAAAATAAAAGAAAGCCCAAGGTGCCAAAGGAAAATATAGTTCATGCAAAATCAGAGTTTCATCTCAGTAAAGCCAAATGCCAAAAAAGATGCAGCATACATCTGTTATCATTCAAATATATAGTAGTACTATTAGAGAAAAAAACTGAATATGAAATGATACACTGGTATAGAGGTGAAACCTACTTAAGTGTAGCTTCTGCACTTTCTATTGTGACTTTATCATCTGTAGCATCACGGTTAGGTAGTCCCAAGTCAAAGTACTTGATATCCAGGTCCAAGAATGGAAAAATGAGCTGCATTATCAATTGAATCATAAGTCCCACATAATATAGCATTAAAAGTTCTATTACATTGTATCCTATAAGGATAACGATAGAGAAAATTTTAGCAAGCAAAGTAGGCAAGAAAACCAACAGTCACCTTTTCTTTGATTGATTTCCAAAAGACTCGAGTCATTTCATCCCCTGCCACAATGCAAAGACATATAGCTGATAAGTGATCTAGAATTATATTCAAGCATTTATATATAAACATCTGATGAGATATAAATGAACTGCAATGGTGTTATATTAAGGTATGACCAAGAATTACACAATGAGACAGTTTAAAGAAATTGAACTCTGATTTAATCAATAGTAAAGATATATCCATTGGAAAGACTGCCTTTAATCTATATACACCTTGTCATTTAAAACGTGCCAATATCAGCACCTAGTGGAGCAGAAATCTACATAGCAAGGAAGAAAAGGGCAAGCAAAACAAGTTTAGTACTAAAACAACTCAAAAGAAAAGAGAAAGAGACAATTGCACAAATCAACCACAACCAAGGATTTGTTTGCATTAGCAAAAAAGAAAAATAAAATGCTTTTCATGTTTGCTTCTAACTTGATTTAGTTCAGTACTCACTAGATTTAGAGCAGTGCTGATGAAGGATGAGCATCAGTGGATTTCTTTTGATAATAGATGAACCAAAAAGAGATGAATAAAAAGATAGTAATTGAAAGATAATAGAAAAACATAACGAGATAACTACCAAACTGGCTCTGGCCTAAAGAGCGAACTCCTAGGATGAAGGCTTCATACCTCCATATATACATCATTTAAGGAACTTGAACCCATGAATGACTGAACTTTATCTACAAAAGCAGACATTTTCCAATATGATCACTTCTTTGTTACAGTGTGATATTCTCTCTTGTTGTAATGATGGCTAGAATGGTTAACGTAGTGGATTTAGGAAGAACAAAAATTCCACATAGGAACCAGAAGAAAAGGTAAGTGAATCTTTTCATGACTTCAGAGGAAGTTCGAAAACTCTTTGGCAGGTCTCGGTGCAACTGGGGTGCTGTTTTAACTGTAAGTATAGTACCTAGATTGGGAGCACTTCGAATCAGAAGTACTTTGAGTGGTGGACGGAGAAGAAAGGAATCCTAATGGTTCCTGGGAATTGTATGGCAGAAAGAAGGAAACTCTTTACAAGAAATAATTCTTTTTCCATGAACAGGGGGGATGCACTAATATTTCCAAACCCATAAAATACTCATTATTTGAGTGATTTGCAACTTTGCCAGTATAGGTGATTTTGTACTTGATTTTGCCCATTCCAACTGTTTTCAGTGTACATATCTTCATTTTCTTAGGGCACTGATATTGCTTCACCTGTTTCTTGCATTGTACTATTTACTGGAAGGTGACTGTAATTTTTTTACTACTAGAAATTTGTCCCAACTCCTGAATTCCCAAGTTTTAGAAGCAGAGTCGTAGAAAAGACATTATAACAGTTTAAAATAACACAAATACCCTAATGGGCACAAACTCCTAAGCGTGGGAACTCTCTACACGTGTGGTATTACTTTTCAAGAAAAAGAAAGTCCAAAATCCCAGATACCAAAAAGTGGGTTTTCGTTACGGCTAATCAAAAAGCAACAAGAAAACACCAAGTGGAACATAGTTCTTAGGACCTTATATTCAATCAACACAAACAAATTTGCATCAACTAAAGCATGACATGTAACTTGTCGAAAAAATTCCCTACGCAGGAGAAGCAATGAACAACAAAATCCGAATCTCAGAAACCAAATGGTGGTTTTTAGTTAGGATTAATCCACAAGCAACAAAGAAACACCAAATAGCCCACAGATCTTGAGAGCTACATATCTCAAGTGAACATCAATACATTCTACACTATCAAACGCACATATCTGCATCAACTAACATACGACACAGAAGTAGATCCACAAACAAGGCGAAGCCGATCGAACAATAAAAGATGGCAATGTATGAGCACATCCATCAGGATCGCGCCGTAAAGATCGTGGATCGGCCCACGACGACGGAAACAACTAATCATGAAGCACCGAAACAGTCAGAAACAGAACGGATCTGGGAATACGGAGACCACCAAAGGTTGATGGGACGGGGCAGACGGATAAAACGAGCGGGCAAGGAAAAAAAGGCGTTGCTCACCGTCCATCTCGACGATGGGGTTGAAGACCTTGATCTTCTCGAACGCCATTTCTTGGGCGCGGCGCCACGAAATCGGATGGAGTTCGACGACGAACGGAGGGGGGAACGAGAAGTTGAACTAGAATAGAGCGAGAGAGCGAGCGCGGTGCTGATGCCGCCCCCCTTAAATGCAGTTACAAGATTGATAAAAGGAGCAACAACGCTTTTCTCCTCCCTATAGGTCACCCGCTAATGATCGTAGGAGGCATTTGGGTCCCACATAAAAGACCCATTCACAGGAGGCTAGAGGGTCGGGTAGTTTCTTCGCAGGGAACAATAAAGTCCTACTAAAGATGTGAAAATGTGCACAATATTTTCTTACCTTGAACTTCTACCCTCTTTCCGATAGATCGAACGTACAAGAAGAGGACCCACAATTGTACCCAATAAAAGATAGGTGAGACGGGGTATTTTAGCAGCGGGTATATGTGATGAAAGGGGAGACGCAGTGCAGACATGTGCTCCCTTTTAGCTACTCCTTGCGGCGGATTGCTGTCGAATCACTAATCGACCCTTACTTTTGCCACCATTTTACTTTAAGATTTTTTTATTATTTAAAAGGAAGAGTATTTTAGCTTTATATATATATATATATATATATATATATATATATATATATATATATATATATATATATAATGACTCTACTTATTAAATAATCAATTTTATTTAACTATAAAATAACTATACTTCGTCAGAAGGTCTGTCACCACTGACGCTTGACCGGCAGCTCGGATTCCCTGCTCACCAAACACAACGCCACCCACCAACATCACCTTCCCACCGGTCTCCGGTGGACCACTGGCTGCGATCATCCATCCGTCCGATGTCAATCGACCGGTCCTCGTTGCGCTTGGCTGGCGTGTGTGGCACCAAGAAGTTGATCATCTTCCTGATTCCACGTGTCGTCGACGGAAGAGCAGTCGCGTGTCAGCAACTCTACAAACGACTCACCGATCTTGCTGATCTATTAATAGTGGATTTGGTCAATTATGTAGTCAAATAATTCGAGAACATCGTGATCGCTCATCATCATCATCTTCTCTTATTTACTAATCTCGGAATGATTTGTAATTTTCTACTTTACCGAGGATGGCGTGAGATGGATCGAATAGGTAGGTAATCGAACCGTACTAGGTATTGATATCGGAAATAGATCTACCGACAGCGAACGTGGACACGCGCACGACACCGACATGGCGGGGTCCACTGTGGTTCGGTTGGCGCAGTTTTTATGACGTCACTAAATCAAATTTAATTTATTTTTTAACCATAAAATTTTAGTGTAATATAAAGAAAAAAGAACGGATTTTTCTCATACTTACTATAAATGGGATTTTCGCTTTTTTTAGGTATTATTTTTGTTATACTTGGTTATAGTCGTAAGCTAGTTTGGTCCACTCAATCTTTTAACTTACTTATCTCAACAGTGACCTCGCATTCAAAGAATCTATCTTCTAAATATTTAAGATATGTTTGATTACGACACATATCAGGAATCTATTTAGGATACAATGCATCTCCTTTGGATACAATAAATCTATTTAGGATAAAAAAATATTTTTAAAATATTTAATGTAATTAATGTGATTCAAGGCATATCTCTTGCATCCACCTATACAAAAAGATTAGAGTGTTTAACATAACTAATGTGGCCTAAAATATCCCTATCTATTTGAAACAATAATTGAAACACCATTTAATAGTCTTTTATAAAGATAATCATTATTGAAGTCTTCAGTTGGACATTATACTTGAGAACAGATAATCTCTTATCTCGAAGAATGATGTAGCAATTGATATGATCATTATTTTCACTCAATTGTGACTAGACATTTGGAGTCTATTTAATCCGAAAATAATAATGTGTTAGTTGAACATGTCATATTCATATTTTATAATATATATATATATATATATATATATATATTATTTTTAGTATATAAATATTAAGTTGACCAAATATCTCCTTCAAGAACTTTTTTCCTAATCCATTTAGATGTATGATGATACTTGGATAGGTCAATTAATCTTACTATTTTAGGTTAATTATCAATATTAACTGTATCATCTTAGATATATATATGATCACATAAGTTAATAAGGATATAAAAATATTTATATAGTGATACCTATTTGGATATCATAATAATTAAATCAACATCCAATTTCATAGTAAATGATCCATTTAATTTGAGATAAAAGCATATGATTCAACACATAAATGATGTTCCCATAAAACAGTTTGACGTTTGATGATGGACTCAAGAGGTACCCAACACTTATCTCTCGTTAGATAACACTTATTTTTATTTGGGTTTGGTTCTCCTATTCTTCAACTAATATATAATTAAATAATACTTATCAATGTTTCACTATAGGAGAACTTGTGCCTTTGGTGCCATCTTGTAGATGTCACTGTATTATTTTATTCCTTTAAAGTCTCAATCCTTTACTAATGTAAGTCCTCTTAGTTGTAAAGAATTATTCATTATGATAAGGATCTTACACAGTTTTATATTTTCAGAATAGATCCAAAAAAGTTTTTTTTAATGAGATGAGTCATCTTTGTACTCTCACATGGTGCTCATCATAAGGTTTGGGTCCTTTGGAAGATCTATAGTATGATTTAGTTTCAGAATAAAAAAAACATGTTAGTATGGATATCTTTTAGAATCTATCAAAAAAATAAATTTGGTGTCCATCCTATCTAATCAACTTATTAAAAAATAAAAAAATACTAAAATCCTTCAAAAGATAATAATTTATATTTTAAGACTCTCCCTTAAAGTATCATTTTGAGATAAAACATATCTATCTTGCTTTGAAGATGTTCAAGTAATCTTCAAATTATCCTTTGAAGAGAGATTTTATAAAAATATCTGTGGCATTATCTTTGTTTTATAATGATCTCTCTTACCTCAATTTTGATATGCTTGGTTTTGACAAATTAGTTGTCATTAATTTTAAGGTATTTTGATTGTCACACGATAAAATAATTAGTTTGCTAATTTGATAACGAATATACTTGATTAAATGCTTTAGTCGTATATATTTTTATTTTTGAGCAGTACAAGAAGAAACTTTACACGATTGTTGTTTCTTACTATATCATGAGATACAAACATAATCATATAAATAGACATAGTTGAAAGTTGATCTACGATTATCTAAATCACCTCCTACATCAACATTACATAATAATACAATTCAAGATGAATGTTCAACATTCTTATAGAATGATCTCAAATTAAAAGTAAGTTATCGTTATTGTATCATGCATGGCTTGCTTAGAGCATAACCGTGTTGTTCTTTGTCAAACACGTTTTCTGGTGTTGTTTGTGATATCAGCATCTCTATACTCTTCGATTTAAAGTCTAAACTGCTGCAGTAAATTCAGAATTGCTTGCGTAACACTTTACTCTTTTCTTTCTTGATCAGGTGACTGCTTGGTTGGTGCAGCAGAGCAGATGTCTTTTGGCAATTGCTTCTGATTGTGGTCATCGGAGTTAAAAATGCATTGCTAGTTTCTCGAGTCTTGATACACTCACTGGACACAATCGATTACTATCTGTGTTCTTTTTTGTGATGGAGGTTTAGTATCACATCAAAATGAACAAAGATTTGAAAGTAATTTGACTTGAAGAATTTAGATCAATGGCTTAGTTATTGACTATTATTGACTAAAGAATGAATGTTCCACCAATATAGACTAAATATGCACAGGTTGTTTACTTCCCTCCTCATCTGCTGATAAGCTTCCACCAATACTGATTTAGATTCAATCTCTATGCTTTTGGATATGAGCAGATGAGGATCGACAAACCACTTACTTAATTGTCACTTGGAGATAGGCCTTAACCCAACCCAACCAGTAGAATGCATTTCCTTTTTATTCATTTGGTTTGGTCCCATATCTTTTATAAACATAAGTCATAACAAGGATATATATACATGTACAAATACACAACCACTTATCTAACATCTCACAATTGCTTGTTAGTCAAGACATCTTACTAATCGAGCGAACATTAAGCCGCTCGAGTTTAGCTCAATATGCAAATTTAGTCCCACATCGGCAATTTAGAAGTAGGACAATAGTATAAGAGCGTAGGTCTCCGATTGTTGTTTGCGCTACAGGACGGAGTGATCGGGTCTGTTGACCCTGGAAAGTCCCCGGGCCTCCATCCGCAGAGATGCAGTCACGTAATGGTGTCTCGTCGAGCTTCGGGCCAGTATGGCTGAGACACGTGTGGAGCCATACGGGCCCGAACCGGAGAGATTAATTATGGCCGTTGAAAACAGTTATTCACTCGATTCGTAACCGTTGGATCAACAGAACGGGGCTTATGATCCTGTGGCGCTCTTTTTCTATCACCAAAATTGTCAGTTGATTTTTTTTTTGTTACCATCATTTCAAATTTTATTTTAGATATTTATCCACATGAAGAAAAAAAATCATGTAAAGTTTAACTTTTGATTTAGTTTGCCAATATACCCTAAAACAAATACTCAAATTCGATTATTTCTTCATATTATTATTTACAAACTCTTATTTACTATTTACGATCTCATTTTAATTTTTTAAATATTTCTTAACTACTATTTCACAAATAAACTTAAATATTTGTTTTTATTCTCCTCCTATTCTTTTTCTTTCTTCTTATGTCAACAGAACAACGAAAGAGCATTGATGCTAACAAAGAACATGGGAGAGCATCCACATCGATGAAAAGCATGAGAGAGTGTTGATGATTTCGACAATGAGCATACGATTGATGATAATATTGGTAGAAAACACGAGATAATGATATCGGCAGGAGTGAGGAAGAAAAATAAAATAAAATCAATAATACTATAATTATAAATAATAAAATAATATTTTATTATTTTAAAAGAGATTATTGATTATCAATAATAAAAAGTGGTGGTGAAGAATAAACTTCTTACCCCTGTTTACGAAGATACCCCCAAACCAATCCTTAAAGACAAGAATGCCCCAGCAAAGGAAGATAACATGCACCTCCATGATATCTATCCGACGAGGGTTTCTGTTGTTCCCAAAACCCTCATCTTCTCTTCTTCCTACTCTCTCGCTCCACACTCTTCTCCCTCTTTCCGATCTCCATATCGGGTCCATCTAT